TTTCAACAGTACACTTGCCTGACCTCAAACTTAATCTGTGTGTTCCTTTAACACACACCAACACACACCGTACTCAAAGCCGAGGTCGTAAATCACAGCAGCTTTTAATCTCAGCGAGACCGGTTGACCGAAACAAAAACTCAGCTTCATTCCTAGAAATGAACCAAACAACAATTTCTCTCCTGGAGCAGAAACAGCACTAACTTTTTCTTTTGGCCTTTTCTTTACCCCTTTGTACCATTTGCAGAAAAAAAAAGAACAATAATTGCCCTTTTGTGTAATGCAACCATGAGGATTCCCTTGAGTCTAAAGCACACCTGACATGCAGGCAGAAGAAAATGCAGCACAAAGTTGCCACCAATACACCCCCACAGTGACTAATTTAAAACTTATGCAAATCAAAACTCACCGAGGGAAGATTTTGACAACACAAAGCATGGCCTTGACACTCCCACATCATTACTGAGTCTGTGACAACAATGCAAACTGTCCTAAAACTGCTCCTCTCATCATTCCAGCTGTCTGCTGGCTACATTTCTAGCAACTTTTACAATTAAAATGTCATTAATGCTGTTTATCTGGGGGGACTGGGTGCCAGCTTCAGGGAATTAGCAATCATTAACTATCAATTAGCATTTCCATTAAATGTGTAGGCTTGCCGAAGATGTACATTTGTTCTGCTGCGCAGCTCTGGAGAGGCTGCGGCGGACGCTGGTGATTTAATTAAAACCCCGGTCGTCCTTGTGGAGACAGCATGTGGAGAAATATGGAGCCAGGTGAGTCCGTGTGAAACCTGCAGGCCATTGCGGTAGAATTGCATCTCAGTGCTTGATGACCGTCAGAGCAGCAGAGGACAACACAGAGCATCAGTTGCAGATGTAACATAATAAAATCCCACATGGCTGACTCCACTGTGGCCTGACGACTTCACCAAGCAGAAGCCTTGAACAGCGTTCCACCTGGAGCAGAAGCAGCAGGCTGCTGGGACGCCCAGTCACCTTGGCTATTCAAGGAGAAAGTAGTTACCTTTCTAGAAGTGTCCTGATTTATGTGGGATGGTAAAAAGAAAGTGAGGAGACAAAAGGTAATAGTAAGGAGAAAATGGTGTAAGTGAAACACTTTTAATGAGCTAAATCTCATTTTCTCTCTTTAGTAATGAGATTGTGTCGGGTTTCTTTTCACAGCCACCTCATTGGGACAATTACCAAGGTGAGCTCATCTTCTCTCTACTTACTCTATGTCTTGCTGTGCTGACTTTATTATTCACCGAGCGGAGCACATTGTTAATGCATGAGATACAATGAGTCAAGTGGCCGCAGGGAAATAATGAGTGCAAGGTGACAGACTCAAGCACGCTGCACGGATACAACAAAACAATCAGCTGCCTTTCATTTTGTAACTACAGTACAGCAAAAGTTTCATTCAATATATTTCGTCTTGTTATATTAGCGTAAAGGTTGAAAAGCAAAGTTGACTTGGCTGTACATGCTTCCAACAGGGGGCAGCAGTGATGCACATCACAACTTTCATGACACCTTTTGATTTTTGGTTCCGTAAAGATGCTGTCAGTTCTCTTACAGCTGTTACATAGAACTCTCTGGAATATCATGTACATTTTGATGGAAGGTAACAAAGTACAGACATACTACATGCAGAAGTAGAAGCTCTCTATTTGAAGTCTACTAAAAGTTGCAATATGGGAAATTTTGCCGGTAAATTGTAGACCTAATGTAGCTTAAAGGACTGCACCACTGCCCTTCTCCTTTACTTATTTCTGTTACATTTGTGCAAAATCAAAATTTGTAGCACTGGATTCTGGAAACTGTGTTTTACGTGTATTTTTAGATTTAACAGCTGCTTTTGACACAGTTGACATGACAGTCTCATCTCCAGACTGGAGCAGGGTGGGCATTACTGGTTCAGCTCTTCAGTGGTTTAGGTCCTACATTTCTGATAGAAGTTGGGTGTGATAATGGATCATTTTACCTCTGTTTCTGCTGCCCTCCCCTGGGGGGTACCACATGGCTCTATTCTTGGTCCTTTCCTGCTCTCACTTTATCTTCTGCCACTGGGTTCTATTTTCAGAAAGCATGGTGTACAGTTTCATTTATATGTGTATGACTGTCAAGTCTACTTCCGTTTGAAACATAATGGCGCCACTCAGTCTCTTCTGGACTGTCTCATTGACATTAGAGGATGAATGCACTTAATTTCCTCCATTTTAATGAATAAAAGACTGAGGTTATGGCCTTTAAATCCAGCGGTGCTAGCAGTATCCCCACCTTTGATTTTTTTTCCTCTGGCCTCATATGAAAAATCCACTGTTACAAATTTAGGGGTGAAAATGGACCCCTGCTTAAAATTTGACGTTGTCTTTCTTTCAGCTGAGGCACCTGTCAAAAATCAAGCCCCTCCTTTCTAGGTGCCTCTTAGAATCATTGATCCACACTTTTATTACTTCACATCTGGATTATTGTAACTCTCTTTTGATTGGAGTTAGCCAGGCATCCCTCTCACGCTTATTGCTGGTACAAAGTGCTGCTGCACAATTTTTGACTAGTGCAGGTAGGAGGGAGCACATAACTCGAGCTTTCATGTCCCTTCACTGGCTTCCTGTCCAGTTTTGAATTCATTTTAAAGTTCTATTGTTTGGTTTTTAAGTCTTTGAATAGTTTTAGTCCTTATTTGTCTGAACTGCTTCACCTTTATATGCCATCACGTGCTCTTAGATCGTCTGACCAGATGCTTTTAGCAGACCTGAATACCTTTTATAAATCTAGAAGAGACAGAACCTTTTCAGCTCTGGCTCCTAAATTGTGGAATGAGCTGCCGCTGAAGGTCAGGCAGGAGCTAGCAACTGTGTCTTAATATTGTACTCATTCCTTGTATTTGTGATGATTTCATTTCTAATTTTTTATAGTTGTCTTATTGTTTTATTCTTGTTCTTTGTTTGTATTTTTGTACAGCACTTCAGTCAGCTACTATGTTGTATTTCAAGTGCTTTAGAAATTAAATGGTGTGGTATGGTATGGGTAAATCATCCATGCAACACTTTCAGAGAGGAAAAAAAGGAAATAAGAAATCCTTGAACACATAATTGCAGTCTTTTTATTTTTCAAATTGAATTTGATTTGGTTTATATTCTTTCATGCAGGAAAAATACACACATTTTCCTTTAATGTGAAAACCAGTAACTTGAGATACTTCACAGTGACATACTTGGCATACTTAGAAATATGTCTTTTTTTTCTTTTGACCCACCAATTGACATTTTTGGTTCCAATGACCACATTTAACCAATCTCCCCTGCAAAACGAGATTTTAGCTTTCTGTTCCCTTCTTGCTAGACGCTGTATTTTACTCCTGTGGAAATCTCCCACACCTCCATCTATGTTAATATGGCTTAACACTGTTTTCAAGGCTGGAGAAGTTTTACTAACAGTGAAGGGTAGCTCAGCCAAATTTACTCGCAAGTGGACACCCTTTGTGGAGTACCTCAAATCTTTATCTTCTTAGTGTGTAGAATCATGTAATTAACCCATCATGTGACGACGTTAAAAATATTGTGAACTATTCTTATTTATTTTAGACCCCCCTCCTCCACTCCTTTTATTTTTATTAATTTTTTAAATTTTAACTTTTTTTCCTCTGTATTTGCACTTGTATAGTGTTTTATATAGCAAACAACATTGTATAATCTCTTGATAAATAAATAAAAACAATAAATATGTTTTATGACATTCAGGAACTAGTTCACGAATGATGTTAGGATAGAATCTGAGTCTCATTCTCAGTAATGAGAGCGTTGCTTTGGTCAGTTGTGATGAAGAAAGAGTTGTGTCAAATGAAAAAGCTCTCAGTTACTGGTCTATGTCATAACTGACCTGTGGTTTTCAACATGATCACAACCAAAAAGAACAAGATCCCAGACACAAGCGGCCATGATGAGCTTCCTTTATAGAGTGGCTGGGCTCAGCCTTACGAGGTGAGGAGCTCCTTCATCCACAGGGAGCTCGGATTAGAGCTTGTATCCTCTGTATCAGAGGAGTCACCTGTGGTGGTTTGGGCAACTGAGTATGATGCCTCCTGTAGATAGGCTCCTGAGGTTTCAGGTATGTCCCACTGGAAGGAGACCCCAGGGCAGACCCAGAACTTACTGGAAGGATTACATATCGTCTTTGGCTTGCAAACACCTTGGGATTATTTGGGGGGAGTTGAAGAGTGTTGCTGGGAAGAAAAATGTCTGGATTTTCCTCTTAGACCTGATATCCCCACAACTGAATCACAGAAAAGTGGTAGAAGATGGACAAATAACAGTGACACATCATGCCAGCTACGTTGCGTTAGTGTGGGAAACCAGCAGTGCGTTGACCACTTCCAGATCACAACTTCATTTCATTCAGCAAATCTTACATTTCCAGGAAATCACTCAAAATACTCATCTGAATTACAAGACCTGAATTACCTGCCATAGTTACTGTACATTACTAAAACATGGTTAAAAAGTGGAGGAGACAAGTATCTCGGGGTTTTGTTCACAAGTGAGGAAACAATGGAGCGTGAGATTGACAGATGGATCAGTGCAGCATCTGCAGTATTACAGACTCTGTGCCGGTCCGTTGTGGTGAAGAGGGAGCTGAGCTGTAAGGGAAAGCTCTCTGTTTACCAGTCAGTCTATATTCCTACAATCACCTATGGTCACAAACTCTAGGTAGGGACCAAAAGATTGAGATTGTGGGTACTGGAGGTCAAAACGAGTTTTCTCTACGGGGTAGCTGGACTGGAAGTTCAGTTATCCAGGAGAGACTCAAAGTAGAGACATTGTTCCTCCACATCGAGAGGAGCCAATTGAGATGGTTCGGGCATCTGGTAAGGATGCTCCATAAATGTTTGACTGGGAATAGACCCCAGGGAAGACCCAGGGAACACCTTGGCATCCTCCCAGAAGAGCAGGAAGAGTTGTCTGTGGAAAGAGATGTCTGGACCTCCCTGCTCAAGCTGCTGCGCCCGAGACTTGACTTGGGAACAAGCGGAAGATGATGGATGGATGGAAAACAAGGTCCGCCCCATAACACTATATACTCAGGAAAAATAAATAACATAATAAATAAAACACTAAAATCAAACTGGGCACTTGGGAAAGTTTTGTTGTTGAAGGTTTAGAACAGTTGATATGGTTCTGTCAGAGCCGGGGTCTGCACCCTGTGGCTCTGGGGCCACGTGTGGTTCTTTAGTCCCTCGTCTGCAGCTCTATGAAGCTTTGACCAAAACTTACAGGAAATGTAATTGTTCTGCTTTTATACCCACAACAATAAAGGCTAATGTTGACAGTTATTTTGTCAATTTTCTGCAAATGTTTGAAAGACACTAATATTTTTTACTATCACTTCAAAGTGGGATACTTGATTTCTCCTCATATACTTTGTAAAAGGCCACACAGGCCTGCAGAGTTCAGGGTTTTCATTTTCATCTAAAGATGTAAACGTATGAATAAATGTTGACATTTATTACTGAATATTAGTTTTAAAACGTCACCCCAACTGGTCAAAGAATCCCCCTCCAGCTAACTCAAAGTGGCCCATGGGCCAGCAGTTGATCATCACAGTTGTAGCAGGTTTCGTGGCTCCGGGTTCTTTTTTATTTAATGAGTGAAGGAGCAGAAATGGCTCTTTGATCAAAAAGGCTGCAGACCCCTGTGTCAGACTTATGAAAACACATTTTATTTGGCTGGAAAAGATACAAAAAATAATGCTTGAAAATCATTGCTCTAATTAAATCTGAAATAACACAAATAAAAGCAATTTATTATATTTTGTGTAAGAACTAAAACACCTGACCTGATGCTTTTTGGGACAATTCAGAAACAACGTGGCTCTGATGGACTGAAAGTTTGGAGTTTCAGCTTTTATTCACACAGAACTAAAACCAACATTTTCATTCCTTTTTATTAATCTTTTTCTATTTAGTAAGCAAGTCCTGATTATGTCGTAATTTTCAGCCCTGCAGGCCGCGACACGAACACAGCGATAAACAGAACATCCCAAGAACGAGCCTCTTGTTGTAAACAGCCATCCAGCTAAACATCCGTGGGGCAAGAACGGCTGAATCAAAGCAACGTCAAGTTTTTATCTCAGCACGCCAGATTCCAATAAACAGCTGTTTCATCTGGCCGCGTCACACTGTTCCTGTCTCCACTGCCACAACAACCAGACAGATGAAAGGACACCTGAGGCCGTTTGGACTCTTACATACAGCTCATAGTTCTTGAATGCATCTCCTTGTTTTTATTTTGCTCATATTTTCCATCTCTCCCTGTATATTCTTTCTTTTTTTGTTCACTTCAAACACACATCGGCGGATTAAGACAGCAAGCGGATATTCAAGCCTGGGAGATAATCTGCCAACCTTTCACCCCTCCGCACCCAATCTGCCACCGAGTGTCAGGCAAAGCTTAAAGACCTCATTTCTCCTTGGCAGCAGCTGAGCCTCAGCTTGACCTTGGCCAGAGGACAGCTTGAGTCATTAGCATGGAAAACGCTGTGCCTCGCAGTCCCACCAGTCGTTGCAAACATTACACAACCTGGCACAGCTTCTAAGCTCCCCCTGCAGATGCTTGCCTCACCACTGGGGCGAAGCCAAATCTATTCACGGGTTTACAGATGCAGATTTTTAAAAAGGGATTTATTCTCTAATAGAAAAGAAAAGGGCTTCAAGTATATCCACCAAGCTAAATAAATAAAATAATAAAAAACCCAGATTCAGCTTGGACATAAAATATCAGCTGCAACTGATGCATTTTAGCTTGTGGGCACCCACAAGTTATCTCCATAACGGTTTGTTAGAAATAATTCCACAACCATGAGGATTATGCAGCTGTTATCACTGCCTACACTCTTCTGGTTTCAGGCTTTGGACCAGAGTTTGGTTCCTCGCTGCAGATTTAACAACTTGGTTTGCTCTGCCATGCTGTCTATATTTCTGTATCTACGAGCTTGCTGCTTCCATCTTCTACTTGCATTAATATTATAATCATGCTCTAGTGGAGCACAGTGTACAACCTGAGCCGCGGATATAAATTCATTAGCTGGGTGCTAACACGAGCCCCGATCTCGGTTTATAGGTGAGCTTTGATCGGTCACCTCGATGCTTGGAGAGGACTGTGACATTCTGCATTAAAATGCACAACAAACACACACAGCCCCTGAATTAATGCAAATAGCTCATGAAGAACGTTCATTCATTTTCCAGGCTGTGTAAAGCAAAAACAAATTAAGGGGATATTCATTTTAGTCTGCCTGCAGGAAATAATGTGTTGCATGTCAACACTTGTATAATGTGGCTGCAGTCTCTTCAGAGTCACAATGTTACTTGTTGCTTTCACATCCCACAGAAAAGAGAACAGAAAAACACTTTAGCAAACACTTGTTTCTGTGTACAGTCCCTCGTTTATCGCGGTGGATCTGTACCCGGAAGCTCCACAAGAAATGGAAAACTGCAAAGTAGGAATAGTTGTACAGGTAGTAAGTAGTAGTTTATTTTAGTATTTTTATATATACAGGTGCTAGTCATAAAATTAGAATATCATAACATTTTTTATTTATTTCAGTAATTCCATTCAAAAAGTGCAACTTGTATATTATTTTAATTCATTACACACAGACTGATATCTTTCAAATGTTTAATTCTTTTAATGTTGATGATTATAACTGA